TCAATGTGAAGGTCAGTTGTTTGTTCAACTTTTAAATCAAGTTGTCTACTCCAAATCATTATTTCATTTATTAATATTTAAGCTGGTTTTCACTGTCACTTTTCCTTTTCTTACCATTTCAACAACCAACACATAGCAGCGAGATTATTCATACAAATTTCTTCTTACCGTGACTAATGCTGCATTGAATGCCCTTACAATAACCGCATTTACTTATTTGTTTACCATAATAATCAATAACTGTTAAACCCATATTTTTATGTTTAATATAATCAGAAGATCTTAAATTCCACAAAATTTTAGTTTAAAAATTTTAAAAATAATATCTCATCTCACACACGAAAAAACCTTGACAACTAAATTTTCAGAATTAATGGACAGCTGTTTCTGCATTCTTGCTAGTGGTGAATGAGCGAAAGAATTGCTTCATTGCCTTTGATAACAGATGATAATTCTCGCAAGAACAATGTTTGCGATGAATGCTTTCGTACTTTTGGTAGTCGCTTCTAAACGTTGCTTAGTACGTTTTCACATAACGCATTTAACGTATTTAGGCGCAAAAATTAGTTCAATTATAAAGCGTTTTTCATTTGAAATAGTGGGATAATTGGTTTTTGCCTTCTTAATACGTAAGTAAAATAATATAAATCTACTACCTTTTGTTTTAGTACGTTCTTCTGCTACCATGCGGCATTAAGCTTTTAAAACTTAAAGAGATATGTATGGAAATAATGAGATATAGAGAGAGAGATGGAGAATAACAAAAAAGTATATCGAAAGTTCTTAAAGTTCTTTTCAGTTGCAAAAAATCAATGGTGCAAGAGCAAAATATACTTTCCTGTTTGACTCTTTTGAGAGTAAGATTGTCTTCTCTAGAATTAAATTTACTTTGATGCGTGCAGTTATGAGAGGAAGTTTGACTTTTCAAGCTTAAAATCTACTTTGCTACGTATTCTTTTCTTAGAAGACCCCTTTTCCCTTTTTTGAGAGTAAAATGTTACTTTGCTCTGTATTGTTATGAGAATCATTTTTGACTCTTTTGAGAATAAGAATTTCTTTTTGAGTGTATAATTTAATGCCGTGTTCTTATGAAACGACGTTTTTGATAATTTTTTCCTTGCATATTTTAGTTATTTAGTTATTGCAAGAGCGTGCGAAAATGTGGAAATAAATAAATAGATTTCTGTTGTAAAAAATCGATGGTGTGAGGTACGCGATTAAGCAATAGATTTTATTAATAAAAACATTAATTGCTTCTTGGCGTTTTAGCGAGAATAAGGAGAAAGTAAATAAACAAAAGTAATATTTTTGTAAAAGTGAACAAATTTGTGAACTTTACGAATTATTCAGTGAAATGAAATTAATAACAAAACAATCAACAAAGAATCAGTTGATGGGAAAAAAAAATTGCGCGATCAAAATTATAATTAAATATGCTTTGCATAAACGCATCATGGAATTTTTTAAGCAGTTTTATGTGCATAAATAAGTAATGCAAAAGTGATTATAGTGAACTTAATTGTGAATAGATTTTTTTTTACATACTAATCTCAGGTGCACTTCGAAGTAATTTCCTTTAGTCGTTTTGTAATAAACTTCTTTTACACTGTTATACAAAATTTTTAAATATTATAATTAAATATTAAATTATGTTAGTTTAAATGTTTTGCTTTAAACGGTAAACAAAGCACAAAGCACGTGCATTCGTTATATATTTTCTGCGTACGATCTAAAGTCCAATCAGAGCGTGCTTAATTACAAGGAAAGAGGAATACGGTGAAAGTATTGTTTGAAATGCAAATGTAACAATTCCGGTTCCGTTTAGTAAGTCCAATGCATGGAATTAAAAGCAAACAAGGCACTAATCATATGTACCTAAACACTAATCAAGAAAATTTTTTAAAAATCATTACATTTTTTAATTGCAAGCACTTCAATGATTGAAGTAACTGTGTGTTTTTTATATGGCGCTGAATAAATGCCATTTGCTTGAGACTATAAACGATCAGTAGCAATCCTGTGAGGGCAGCGGACAGAGCGAACAGAGAATGCATTTACCATGTTTCTCAATTTTTACGCTTAAGAGAATTGCATAAAATGATTGCAAAGCGTAAAGGAAAAAAGCATTGAAATTATTAGACGTCATAGAGATAGCCTAAGCCCGGTAATGTCGATTTGTGATAAATGAAAAAATAACCATAAAATTTACCACAATTTGTCCTTTGAACAAATTATCGATCATCTTCATTATCCGTCCACCTCAAGGGTGGTAAGAATGTGATTCAGCTTTGTGCCGGTGTGTCTGTGAAACCAGTGAACTCTTTTCTTATGCCTGGAAATATGTTTCGGGATTTCTCTAAAATTTATATACTGGTTATTGAAATTTCACAAATTAGGTTTCGAAATGGATGTGATAACCGCAGATTGACGTTCGCTGCAAATTTGTAAAAAAAAAGACAAGATATTTGGTCGAGTCATAAATAACTTTCGCTTTTTTATCAGACATTTATTTCCTTTTCATTGAGTAACAAAATTATATGAATGTAACGGTTGATTGCAAGATATTCAACCTCTTTGTTATACCTCTTGTTGATTGGCGTGGATTTTGCTCGAATATTGCCTTTAAAAGGTTGTCGTCAAAGGTGGAAAGATGACTTGCGTTTTAAAGTCGTACATCCAGAATGGAATTTTTCAAACCGATTTTTAACTGTTCGATTAGTTGTCAGTCCTTCTTCGTATACGCTGCATATTTTTTCAGCTGTCGCCTTAGCACTATTGTCTTGTTTAAATTTTCAAAACGTTACTCGCCAAATGTGTACTTTTTCACTCTCCATTTCGAAGGTTAAAAAACCATTTGAATGTAACATGGAACATATAAACTAGTTGAGGGAAGACTAATTAAATTCTCATCTATATAATGAAAACGAAAATTGGTTTGCTTCGGTGACTTTTAGTGAGTAAAAAGGAACAACAGATTTTACCTACCTGCATCCGAAGTTGCTTATGACTCGACCTAATGTAATGAATATGTATACATGAAATTGTATTTTAATATTATTTACCCGCTTCGCCCGGAAAAATACTGACAAAGAAACAAAGGGCTTTAACTTATGTAAACGGTTTTCAATATTAATTCCAAGGTGCAATCTGCCTTAGCATTTCTGGTTTATTATTTTAGTTCTTTTTTACATTAGGTTCCTACTCGAAAGAAGTGCTTAAAGACTTTACTATTAAAAACTAAAAAAAAAACTATCTACAAGACTATCGAAATGGCCAGTTTACAATTCTGGGACTATATGGTATTAGTTATCATTCTAACCGTCTCGTCTATGATCGGGATATATTACCGTTTATCGGGAGGAAAACAGAAGACTACCAAAGAATATTTAATGGCCGATCAGAGTATGTCTGCTTTGCCGGTTTCGTTCAGTTTAATGGCAAGCTTCATGTCAGCTGTCACGCTAATGGGCGTTTCGAATGAAAGCTACCATCATGGAATAATGTTCTGTATCATCAATTTGGCTTATGTGATAAGTACTCCTATTGCCGCCTATCTATACTTACCCGTATTTTATCGTATGCGCACAACTAGTGTTTACGAATACTTAGAGCGAAGATTTGGTCACAGTACGCGTTTGGCAGCTTCACTAGCTTTTTCTATACAAATGATCTTATATATGGGTATTGTACTGTATGCGCCCGCTTTAGCCCTGGAAGCTGTGGCTGGACTGAATAAATTTTCTGCTATAGTGATTATAGGATTAGTTTGCACATTTTACTCAACCATTGGAGGAATGAAAGCTGTGTTAATAACCGACGTCTTCCAATCACTGCTAATGTTTGCTGCCATTTTTTCGGTTATTGCAATGTCCGCCATTAAAGCCGGAGGTTTGCAGGGAATATGGAGGGCGGCGGCAAATACGGGTCGTGTAAACGTAATTGAATTTTCTTTAGATCCTACTATACGTCACACGTGGTGGAGTTTAATAGTAGGCGGCATTATCACTTATATGTCATTGTACTGCGTAAATCAGACACAAATACAACGTTTGCTAAGTGTACGTAGCTTGAAGGGTGCTCAAGCTGCTCTATGGTGGAATCTCCCATTGTTAATTTGTTTGAGTTTCAGTACCCTATTCAGTGGTTTGGCTATTTATTACTACTATCGCGATTGTGACCCAGTTAAGGAGGGACGGATTTCGAGAGGAGATCAACTAATGCCTTTATTTGCTTTGGATACAATGGGTGAGTAACACCGCCAGCACGCAACAAATTAGAATATTGTCTTTTCTATCTTTTTCCAAGCTCTTACAAAATTTCCTTTCTTCTACTTGTTCTTTATAGGTCAATATCCAGGCTTGTGCGGCTTATTTGTTTCTGGCATATTTTCAGCCAGTCTATCTACCGTCTCGTCTGCGGTTAGCTCTTTAGCAGCTGTTACCGTTGAAGATTACATAAAACCCATATATAAAATGTGGTTTAAGCGTCCAATGATTGAAAATAATACTACTTTGCCGTCCAAATTTATGGCTTTTATTTACGGTATTGTTTGCGTTGCCTTAGCTTTTGGAGCTGGCTCAATGGGTGGTGTTTTGCAAGCTTCGTTAACTATATTCGGTGTCGTGGGAGGACCCCTCTTGGCGATCTTTACATTGGGAATGTTTACCGTGAAAGCCAATCAACGAGGTGTACTCTTGGGTCTAATAATTGGTTTATTCTTTTCATTTAAAATCGGTTTTGGTGGACCAAAACCTCCTGTAACGACTTTACCTCTTTCGACAGAAAGCTGCCAAATGACAACAAACCAAACATCGCTCATGGCTGGTACTTTGGAAAGCCAACTCGATGACAATTTCTTTGATACCATCATCGCCACTAGCACTATGAATGCTATTACGGATCCCAGTGAGAAAGTCGAATATTTTTGGTTATATCGTTTGTCTTATTTATGGCTTTCGGTATTGGGTTTTATTATAACCCTTACGACAGGCTATGCTTTAAGTAGACTTTTGGAATATTTCAACTTAGCCGATAACTATCAGATCTATACAGATATTTCGCGTAAGATAATCGATTGCGATTTATTTATACCACCGTTGTCGCAGAAATTGCGTACAGAAGTAATAAGTGAAGAATCTGATCGCTTAAATTGGTTAATCAGTTAGGCAGAACTCGTATAATTAAGTAAATAAAAATTTAATTTATTTTTTTTTTTATTATAGTGATTCAAAGGTTCTCTCATAGGCAGTCACAAATATTCTTTTGTAACTTCATCTTACTGTAATCTGTAAGAACGTCTCAGCATTTATTATTGAGTAGAATTTATTTTGAAACTTGTAGCAACAAATTCGGGTTTGAAAACTTTTATTTCGAGGAGAATGGAAATTTTTTGAAATTTTAAATCTAGGAAATTGCTTCGTTTACCTAGTATAACCTACACTAGATTGTTGAGTTCCTATTAAGGTCTTTTTTTTTATGAAATAAGCTAAGCTATCTTCACTTATTAAACATATTTACTTTTAAAGTTTATGGTAATGAAAATGCGACGTTTTTCTTTAACGTACGGACAGCTCGGTGTGTGGTTGCCAATGCTTACATCTTCATTGATCCCTTTTATAATGTTAGTACGGAATGTTACAGATATTCCCCCGGAGCCTCGATGCGTTAGCGACTGATAATGCTGTCAAATAAGGGATAATAATAACGATTATAAACATCGGTTGACGTCTGTCAATACCGTTTAAACTCCCCAGAGCACATGTACATAAAATATCCGATAAAGAGCTTTGTTTTAAGTTTCTGTCTTTGCACAACCGCCTTTAGTCAGCTGCAGTGTTTTTGTAAGCTGAGAATTGCCAAGCAATGGAACGATAAATTTTTACCTCCACCGAAGTGATGGAAGCAATGTCATCGATAACATCTAACTTTTGGCGAGAAAAAGCTGAGAAATCAGAGTTCCTTATTAGGTAACAAATATGCCAAATACGTAGACATAGATGGCTACCAAGTAGGAAGATTGTACTTTGCTGTGACCGAATCCATTGCACCCATCACCTGTGTGTTAAGAAATTCTCGAAGAAAATGAAATTTTGATGCTCGATAAGATTGGATGAGCAATTTTTTCCAATTTTTATAAACTGCACGATTGTGGTGCAAGGGTGTACTACTTTTGTTCAGAAGGAGTTGAGATAGACCCACCTCTTATTATACCGATCGATTCAGAAAGTGCTTCTGCTCGCCTTATTTTTTTTGTACTGATCATTCGGGTCCCAATTTTTGCTATTTTTTGCTGAAATTTGATATAACCGCTATGTTTTGGCCCAAGAGCGAACGGTATTGGAAGTGATTCGGCTCGGTAGCATGTACATTGACTCTGTGTTGGAGATTATGAGTACTAGGGTTAATTAACCTAATTTTAGTTTCTTTTGAATACATTGTTTTGTGAGACTTGAAGCAAAAACGATCCAGGATTTGTGTTTGATGTAGAATTTTATTCGGGTGTTGCGAACGGTTAAACCAAATTTATATACTACTATATATATAAGGTATATGAAAAACTAAGCCAATTGCGTTGATATGAGAAACTAAAAAAAAAACATGAATAAGATGTTTTTATGCCCATGATCGGAAGATAATAATTTGTTGGTTTTCTCTTCTCTTTTGCAAGGGACTGAGATACACATTAACTACTTCATAAAATGAATCTCTATTTTTCATAGATTTCTAGTCGACTTAGTCATCTTCCTCTGTCCGTTGCCTGTTGATGGAAAATGAAAAGCGCAATTTGAGAAGAAGAACTGAACGTCCATGTAATGCTGCGAAGATTTCGATTTACTTTGTGCGAGCGCATCCAAATGGGTAGTTTTTTCTTAGATTGATAGCTCATTAGCTAACTTCTTCCCATTAACGCTTTCAACGGGTAATGATTTACTTTTATCTGAAAAAGGACGCTTTCGATCCTGTTGTGTCTTTTCAAACGAGTCGTAGTGATGCCTTCGCGCCGATTTTTCGAGTTTCGTTAATATCCAGATATCATAAGAGGCTAAATTAAGAACCAAGCAGTTGCGGAAAAGTATATGCGTGTGAGAAGTATTTCTAGTGAGGAAGTACCATTGGTGTAAGTAGATGCATTATCATGTCGCTTAATTTGGCAGAACTGTCACTGTAGCTGTCTGCCCATCATTCTAACGAATAGAATTATTTAAAGGAAGCGTAATGCTCCGCAATAATACTCCTTACAAGCGATTCGGTCTGGCGAAATCAATTCAAAAGATACACTGCCATAATCGGCGAAGACTTTGCTTTAGCACTTTTTGATTAATTGAGAAGAACTTTGTTTTACTACTTTTTGGTCACACTATGCACACAGAATACTTTTTTGTATATGTGTAAGGTCATTATCTAACTTAAAAGTGAGCGAGAACTGTCTTCAAACACGCCCGTCAAGATGGAAAACTTTAACTTGCGTCGAATCCAAAACATGAACAATATTTGCTAAAGCTTTCTACATAGCCCACGTAAAAATTTCAACCGATCAATTGGACAATAAAACAGTTTTCGTTGATGGATATAAAAAATTCAACCAAAAGTGAAAATAACTTTATTTCCGAATAAGAACATAAGCAGGTTTACACGCTATTTTTATGAACATTTTCGACTCGCGTAGTATATGGAAATGTGTATTAATTAGTTCGTAAATATATAATTTATTTATGGATCGGGAAGTTGGGATTAAAAATTTGAAACTATGGGTCCATTTAAAAAACGCACGTGGACTAAACATAAGCTGATTAAATCAGAACTTCTCGAAATGTAGTCTGAAGAAATTCACAGCTCCTTCTTCTCCGCGAAAAGTGGAAATATGACTTCTCACGACCACCGGCTAATCATATTAACGGTTGCCAAACTGGCTAGATACGGACGTCAAAATTTTTCTCTATAAAAGTTCGTATGGTTTGAAAGTTCCATTGTTTGATTTTCGTTGGATTCAATTTGAGGCTGAAGAAGAAGGCATAGGGTTTTATTTTATTTATAAGTGAGCGAGTTATTTTTCTTTTTATCCATAGACAATCCGTATAAAGATACTAAAAGAACGGAAGCGAGAGTAAAAACTGAAAAAGTTCATTCGCTCCATGCAAAGCTCGTTTAATTTCATCTTGATATGTTTCGTCGTTGTTCGATTTTGATTTATGAAATCAAAATATTGTAATTAATTGAGAGGAAATATGTAAAGAAAAATGTTTATTTATTTGCATTCATTTTCCGAAATGAATCAGAAACAAGTAAGAAAGTCATATTCGGCGGAGTCCGAATCTCGCATACCCACCACCATTATGCTTTTCGCATTCTACTCTCCGAATTCTTTCATTTGATAACCACATATCAATGGTGTTATTAAGAGAGAAAGAAAATTTAGTCACTTGTAATTTGGTGTGGGCATGGCCGAGCGCTGCGTGAAGTGATTATGGAAAATTTCAGACTTCTTTCGGCCTAACTTTGATAATTTCCGAGTAGCGAGCAAAAATCCACAAATTTTTCTTAAGAAAGACGGTGGGTGCGTTCAGTTCATGCTTCACTACGGGCTTCTGCTCCGAGAAATTTGGCCCATTTTCAATACTTGCGCAGATTTCGATATGTTCATTTTTCCGATCCGAAGTATGCCAATCACAAGCAACAGACAGACGGACAGACATGGCTAAATCAACTCAGAATTTCAAGATAGGCTTTGAAGCTTCCTTTTGAACTACATACATTACATATACATTACATATACATACGTTACATATATTATGAGAAAAAAAAGAAAGTGAGTATACCCTCATCTTATCGTGGTGGGTATAACAGAAAAGGCAGGTGTTGCGGGAAAAATATATATCTTTAAATGGAGGGAAAACTTTGCACTCAGGTAATATTAGAACTTAATTCAATTGTTGTTTGAAACGTTGAGAAAATAATTGCTTAAATATCTGCTTAACTGAATAAATATAATGAAAATAGAAAAATAAATACAAATTTGTTGATTTTATTTTTATATATATTTTGTATATAACTATCACATTGTTTGTGTGTCCTGTTCTAAGCATTTATGTAAGAGGAAAAAAATAAAATAAACAAAACTTAATAAAATTTATATACTAATAATAATAATAATAATCATAACTGTCTTCCATTATAAAAATTGTTATATATTTTAAATGAAAATAAATTTATTTAAAAAAAAAAAAAAAAAGAATAAATATTTTGTATAAATTGTTGATTATAAGAACACCCGGAAGCGTGTAAACACATATTTGAAAATGAAAAATTAAAATTCCGTTTTCCAAAAACAATTCAAATATGGCGAACGTTATATCTCTTCACTCCCGCTATGACATACTTTCCATGAACATTACACGATACGCAAAAAGCAAATTAACTTTTGTTACTCTTTATGTTTTTAAA